TGTGGCACATATATACAATGGAATATTACTCAGCCATAAAAAGAAACATAATTGAGCTATTTGTAATGAGGTGGATGGACCTACAGTCTGTCATACAGAGTGAAGTAAGTCAGAAAGAAAAAGACAAAAACCGTATGCTAACACATATATATGGAATTTAAGAAGAAAAAAAATGTCATGAAGAACCTAGGGGTAAGACTGGAATAAAGACACAGTCCTACTGGAAAATGGACTTGAGGATATGGGAGGGGGAAGGATGAGCTGTGACAGGGTGAGAGAGAGTCATGGACATATACACACTAACAAACGTAAGGTAGATAGCTAGTGGGAAGCAGCCACGTGGCACAGGGATATCGACTCGGTGCTTTGTGACCACCTGGAGGGGTGGGATAGGGAGGGTGGGAGGGAGAGAGACGCAAGAGGGAAGAGATATGGGAACATATGTATATGTATAACTGATTCACTTTGTTATAAAGCAGAAACTAACACACCATTGTAAAGCAATTATACCCCAATAAAGATGTTAAAAAAAAAAAATCTGTTGCATTGATGCATGAATGGGAGAAAGAATCTGGCCAAGCAGCCATGTTGTGTTCTTGTGCCAGTGCTCAAGTCTTCCTGGCCTCTTACCTGGGTCATCTTCTCCCTGTTGGCCTTGGGATTTAGCGGGGCCTCCGTGAGCAGGGTGGGGTGCTCCTCAGGTGCTACCCGCAGCTCATTGTAGAAGGAGTGGTGCCAGATCTGGTTGGGACAAAAGTCAGATGAGTCCAGCAGACTCCCAGTGGGCTGGAGACTTCCTATGGACATGCCCATGCTGGGGGAGGATGGCACAATGTTCTCAGAATGGACTGGATCTGGAGGCCTGTCAGCCATGGGAATTGATTGCTCTTTAGAGGTTATATTCCCTCTCAATAAGGCCCCAGACAGGACTCAGGCCTGGGGCCAATATACTTAGTGTGTTGATTATTTCTGTCTGACCTTGGCTCCTATTTACACCTCTCCCTTGTCTCCCCTGCTTTGTGCCCTGAGGGACAAGGCCCTCTGCAGCTCTCTGGCTTCTGGCTGTGCTTGGCTGAGAGAAGATACCAGCAAGAGGTTGGAGAGTGGGAGGGGGGAGAAGGGCAGGGTGATTTTCCGGCAACACTGTGGCCTCCCTGAGCACAGCTCCTGTTGCGCAGCCCCTCCTCAGGCTCCAGCTCTCACTGAGCTCTAGTCACGCTGCTCTTGCTCTTCAGCCTTCCAGCTGGAAGAGCTTCCCTCTGTTGCTGGTACTTGAGCGCCTCTGCATCCCTTTCCGGTTCCCTAACCCTGCTCACATCTGTAAGTAGTCCTTCCTTAAATTAATTTCAGAACCCCAGCTGAGTGTATACTGTCTCCTGCTGAAGCCTGACAGATATGCATTAACTGTCAATGTCTATTATTGACCAGGCTGTTCTTTAAAGCAGGGTTTCTCAACCTCAGCGCTTTGACATTTTAAGTTCAATAATTCTTTATTGTGGGGGGCTGAAGTTTAGCAGCATCTCCGTGTTCCACCCACTAGATGCCAGTAGCACTTCTCCAGCTGTGAGGGGCAAAAATGTCTCCAGACATTGCCAAATGCCCCTGGGAGACAAAATCGCCCCGGTTGAGAATCACTGATTTAGAGGAAGTTACTTCTTCCCGCTGTGCACTGTTCCCTCTTTAGTGATCCAGGACAGCAAACAGGAGGCTTCATTTCAGAGGAATTTGGCAAAGAGTGGCAGGGACACAGGGCTTTGATTTCTTCAGAGGTGAGGCACAGGGTCCTCTGATTCCATTGTACCCATGTATTTAGGGACCCCTGGCTTTGTACTAGGATGGTGCTAAATGTGATCTTAGTTTCAAAGTCTGGAAGGGAGAAAGGCAGTCAAAAAGACAAAATACAAGACACGTCCATATTTTAATGAAGGAAGAGGCAGGAGAAGTTCGTTTTCCAGGAGATTTGAGAAGGCCCTGAAAGCAAAGGAAGGTCTCCAGAGACTGAGCAGGGCATCTGAGGCAGAGCAAATGGCACAAGCAGAGGCCCTGGGCTATGGAGGTGTCACAAGAGACATGAAGGAGATGGCAATTAGGCTTAATAATGTGATGTCAGTATTTCCTCAAATGTGGGCCCCGGATGCTTTGGGATAATTGTTATAGGTGCAGGTTCCTAGGCTGTATCCCAGGCTCACACGTCAGAATCTTTGGGTGGGAAGGGAAAGCTGGGAAGAAGTGAGAGAGTGGCATGGACATATATACACTACCAAATGTAAAATAGATAGCTAGTGGGAAGCAGCCGCATAGCACAGGGAGATCAGCTCGGTGCTTTGTGACCACCGAGAGGGGTAAGATAGGGAGGGTGGGAGGGAGACTCAAAAGGGAGGGGATATGGGGCTATATGTATATTTATAGCTGCTTCAGTTTGGTGTACAGCAGAAACTAACACACCATTGTAAAGCAATTATACTCCAATAAATATGTAAAAAAAAAAAAAGAATCTTTGGGTGTTGGGCCCAAGCATCTGCACTTCATCTTACTTCATTTTCGGAAGCTTTTATAAAGTACTTTAAAAGTTAAGGATGTTGACAATTTTTAAATTAGGAAAATATTTTTAAGAGAAATTAAAATTTCTCATATTTCCATTACTTAATAATAAATAGTTAACACTTTGGCTTTTTTCTTCTCCCTGATCTTTCATCTTTATGTATTTTAAATTTTATTACTACTACCATTTATTTACTTCATACGCTTTCATTTATTTATTATTTACTACTCTTACACTTCTATGTTCAATTTTGTTTCCTGTCACTTTTCAGTTAATGTAACAAAAATAATTTTCTTTTCCATAGTAAACATTTATTTTCAATAAATTGAACTAAAATTTTTTTAATGTTTACACAACATTTCATCATATACCATCATCATCATATATTTAATCACATTACTATTCATGGTATCTTTGATTTTTGTTTATAAATAATCTTGTGAAAACTATCTTTGTACATATTACATTTTATTTTTTCTATTCAGGATGTTTTCCAAAGAAAAAAATTCTAAGAATGGAATTACTGAACTAAAGAGTATGGCAATTGGAAAACTTTTTGGTTTCTATCACCCACAAAGAGGCTAAGTTTGTCTTTACTTCAGAATAGAAATTGCCTGTTTCACTCTTAAGTGCATTCAGTGTTCTCACTCTTAATATGAAATAATTTGATAGATAAAATTAATACCTAGTTGTTTTACTTTGAATTTTTAAATAAGTTTTTAAATAATTTTTCAAATATGTTTAAACTTCTTCAGATTTTCAACTTTTGATAATTTCTATTTGGCCAATTATCTGGTCATGTCCCTTGATTATTTGTCTGGTGGAGACTGTGTTTTTAATTATCAATTTACATTAGTTGTTTGTATTAATCCTCTTTTGCACTTGTGAATATTTTTTGCAATTTGTTGTTTGCCTTTTAAATTTGGTTTTGTTTTTCACACACTAGAAGTTATGATTTTTAAGAAGTCACATTTGTCATTCTTGGGATTTTTTTTTTTTTTTTTTTT